TATGTTCAAAATGCAGAGAAAACAAGTGGGGAAAAAAAGAAATATAATAATAAAAATAAAAATAACAAAAAAACAGGAAAGAAAAAAAAAGAAAAAAAATTTAAAAAATCCGGAAAATAAAAGATATAATAAACTTTTCATCAGCTCGCACGATTATATCCGCCAAAAAGAGTGCTTTCTAATGTTTCATTAATATAGCCAAAGCAAAATATATCAATACAATAGGGTGAGAAACACTCAAAAAGTTTTACAAAATAAATTTACAACAAATAAAATAAAGCACAATAAGTAAAAATATCACGCAAAAACAGAAAATAATTTTTTTTTTTATTTATTATGCTATATATATTTATTTGAACCTACAAAAATTACTCAAACGCCTAAAACGTTGTACTAAGTAAAAGATTCTTATAGTCTTGTATTTTAAAACAACCACTAACAATTTGAAGGAACTTAATAATTTTTTATTTTCTTACAGTGTTCTTTGAAAAACGATGAGCTGAAAATTCTTTTTGACAGAATTAATAAGGTGCTTCCTCCAATCAAAGCAAATCTTGCCTTTCCTGCTATAATATCAAAGGATGTGTGTTTTGGAGAAATACCACCAAATTTGCTAGCCAGTTCACCCGATTATTTAAACGCACAGCCTCTTGGTTCCAAAATAGCCGCGGAAGCTGGATTATTTGGCATCGCTCTGAGAGATGTCTTAGATGTATTTGTGTCAAAAGTATACGCCGCATTAAGACCTGTTTTACATGCTGTTTTATCATTAGGTAGAAGGCTAAATGTACCTTCAATGTGAGTGAATTTTCTAGTTCTAGTACTTTGGCTGGGATATGGCAGTAGACTAATAGATTTGGCATTGGCAAGGCCGAAATCTGACTAAAGCCTTCAGAAAACCTTAATAAAAACTTAATATCTTAAAGAACACAGTACTATTACTTCCTTCAAAATTCCTTAAACCCAAAAATCATGGGCAATACTTTCTGAACTTAATCTTTGCAATCTTTCTTCTAACGTATAGACTTTCTTACCAAAAACTTTATGATTGGGTTTATTTTAATTACCTATTTATTTGCTTTCAACAAAACATTTAAAATTATAATTTATGCTATGCTGATTAATTTTTTTTACTTGTGAGGAAGGGCATAAAAGTTCTTTCGCCAAATTTTTGAAAATGTTTACACATATTAAATGCATCCATACAAATAATATCTCATATGAAAATCAATTTTACAACCGTTTCATTTTGATCAAAGTTTTATAAAAAACGAAAAAAAGTAAAAAAAAAAAAAAATTCTATTTTACTCCTCGAATTCTTAGTAGTTAATTGCTCAAAGAATCCTATACAAAAAATATATTTTAAGCGACGGGAAAATTTCCCTTTTTGAAAAGTGCTTCAATATTGATTGCATTTTTATTTTCGCTTTTTTTCCTTTATTTTTAATGATTATTTTATAAGTCATTTATCACTAACAGCCCGATTTATCTTTGCAATATGTCACCACACCTGTTATAAAAGCGTACCTCCATACTTATGACACACGGTTAAAAATGAGTAATATTTTTAGAACTATCCTTATTACGTAAAATACTGATTGAATGATAAGAATAATTTAAAATTTTTTATTTAAATTTCAATGAATTTGTGGGGAAATTCTTTCTAAAAGTTTAAAAAGCTGTAATGTTTTTTTTCTTCAGATTTTCGCTCTTTTTATAGGCTTAAAAACGATAGAAAACATATTGCTACTTTCTCAATTAATTCCTCCAGCAATTTTAATAAATATTTCACTCTATTATCCAATTTATGATTTTTCATTTTAACATAAATGGCCACATTTTAAATAATACAATTAAAATTTGTCTATTTTAAAAAGATCTTTTGTTTTTAATGCTATCTTGTGCTGACATATTTCTAAATAAAGTCACTTGATTTATATTACTTATATATTTTTGAAATTTATAATGTATGTTTATTGAAAAAGTATAAAGTATATCCTAATGTTTTTTTCTGATTAAACAAAAAACTGCTTTGTCTCAGGAGAAAGTATTAAAAGTGTACATTCTCATGAAAGCTTTATTTCTGTTTTTACTGATAGTTTTAAGAAAAAATGAATATTTGAAAATTATAAAGTCAAACAATGTTATGTTGCTGTTACTACTGGACAATACCAACAAGACTTCTTGAAATCAAGGGAATTTTTAAGGCAGAAAGAGCTCTTCTTGATTCCACTATGATGCCTCCTGAGATGAGTTTTCAATATGGGCAAGAGGAAAATGTAAACAGGACTCAAGTCAGGTTAGGAAAGTGGTTAAGAAATCACAGGAATGTTTTGTCAAAAACTCATTTATTGATATTGCTGTGTGATATTGAGCACTTTGGCATGAAGGGCTGAATACAATTGTTCTTGATATTTAATCTCGCAGCCATGGTTTACTTTCGTGGTTCAAATTCAAACCAATATTCCAAATCTGATGAATAGGGACATAATAAATCCTGTTCACCGATCATTCTGACCACCAATCAACGATAAGAGAACTAAAAATCCCGATTCTGTCAATATATCCATCCGATCTTGAAAATTGAAGGCTTTTCGCCACGTAATTGATATTTCATCGATTCTCCGTCCCCTGAAAATGGTAACGCACCAAAACACCTGAGATGTTGAGAAAACATATAGGTACCTTGCAGAATTTTTCAACATTTCCATTGCAATGTGAAGCAAAATCTGATTGCATTCCATTGATCTATATTAATGCCATTCATTTTTAGAACACACTACAAACACTCATTTCACAAAAAAGATGACTTTCGACTACCACCTTAATCAACTGAGCTCACACTTGTACTGAAAGTGTATGAGACATACTCCGACAGCCCCACCAAGTTTGGTGAGACCAGGGTTCACATGTCACATCTACAGTGTCCTCACTTAATTTTCTCGCCTTTTATAGCAAACTAGGACTAAATACAGCCCAAGTCTCCTGAATTCCTTATTACCCCATGAGGAAACTCTAAAGTTTCTAAAGTAAAATAGTTTTTTTTAAATTTTCTAAATATTTATTAGATATTTTTAATTTTACTATTTGACAATCTTCCTTTAGAATCGTTTGAAACTTTTTAGATATTTTGAGAGTAAAAATATAAAGAGAGAAATAAAGCAATTATTAAGCAGCTATTTCTTGGATTTTTTTAAACTAATTTTTATAACCATTCGCAAAACTGTTTGGCTGGAAAAAACGTAACGAATATTGTAAAAACGGAAAATTTTGATGTACTTCTTTCTATTCTTTAAATTTATCTGTGGAAATAACTCTTACAACTACTTAAGATTAATAATTTCATACGGAAGTTTTTGCTGACACAGCTACTTCCTCATATTTGCATATATATTCTAATTATATTTGTAAAAAAAGTTTTTCTAAGCTTTTTTTTTCGAATTTTTATAAAGCAATCTTAACTGGAACTAAATTTCATCAAAAGTTTCAAGATTTCTAAATGTAGGTAAATTTTGGTTTATTTAGTATAGGTAGGTCCCCTAGTTACACCCAAGCAACAGGCATTATTATACCTAAATCCAACCGTGTAATAAAATGTCATGCGTTAAACCTGGTAAATTGATACGCTGTTGAAATCAATTGACTTACATATTCATAGAAATATTTTATTTCCGAAGATTAACACTGTAAATGTTTAATATTTTTTCTGTTCATGCAAATCAATGCATAAATCATTTAAAAAGTATTCGTGGGTCATTGTCTGACCCGCTGGTCATAGGTTCCCCACTACCAGCACGCGAATTCAAACAAATATATTATCTAAATTAATCTAAACTTAGAATGGGCAACATGGTCAAAAATGCTTTATCAGTCATTTTAATTGTCATGCTTTACTTGAAAGGTTTATTCTTTATTCGTAAAACACAATAGCACAGTTGTACTGAAATGTTTCTAGGAATTTTGAAATATTGCGAACGAAACGAATGCATGCGTCTGTTTGTGAAACAATCATTAACTTTATTTCGTCATATTCGTATTAATTTCGGAAATATCTAGAATGCTCTTGATTTTATGACATATTTGTCCCAAGGGCAAAATAAATTCCTCTAACAAAATAATCCGTATGCGTGCCAAAATGCTCTCAAATATACCAACAGATTTGCGTGAGTCAAATTTGGATGGAAGTAAAACTATTTATTACTAACCGTGAAGAAACAAAATTAATCAAGAATGAAAATGAGAACTACATTCTATCTCCTCATAATTAGACAAGTCTAAAAAAGTAAATGCAATTTTTTTTCTAAAATATTGCTGACTGACAACATGCATGAAATTAATTACGAAAACGTTTTTCATTGAGGCAAAAAACCTTTCGAAGTTAAAAAGGACGAAGTCATAATATTTACTCATATGTTGTTATAATGGGTGCAACATACATAATTAATAAATTAAATTGATAAGAAAAGCTATATAGTAGAGCGAAAGTTAAAAGAAAAATATATTAATAATTGTTTAATTAAATGTAAATTTATACACACATTACACAAATTACATGTATTGTAAGTACAAAAAAATACAAATGCGAAAAATGAAAAAAAAATTAAGTAAATAAAAATCTGCCTTCTCTTAGAACTAATTTTAAAATATATAAATGTGAAAAAATATTAAAATATTTCTCTAACTTTGTATAAATCTAAACATTGTAAACTAACTAAGAATGAGGAAAACAATTATAAACCAATAATTTTTCACATCAAACTTAAATAGAATAACATGCAGTGGGCAAGTGTAATACAAGGTCCGGCTATTAATTTCCAGGACTCATAGAATAACTCAGAAGAAAATAAAATTAAACGCATACCCATTTAATATTATTCGAAGTAATCCCCATCAGCCGTAATGCACGTCTGTGCTCGGCTGTACAAATTTCGGAAAGAAGTTTTAAAGTCCTCTTTCGGAATGCTCTTTAATAGTGACGTTACAGTCTTCTTGATGGCTTCGACATCTTGAAATCTTGTCCCCTTCAGCGAATTTTTTAGCTTAGGAAACAGTCTGCGGGTTTCAAGGTCTGGAGAGTATGGTGGATGCTGCATCTTAACGACACCATGCTGNGTTATTAGATATAATAATTGTTAAATAACTAATCATAATGTTTTTACTCTTAGAACAACGATTGTTATAATTATTAGCGATTTACGTATTCTTCAAAACAAGAAGAAAAAAAAGACCAATTACCATAGAAGGAGTTGAGCAGATTTTCCTAAATTATTTAAAATTTTAGATTTATTTTATTCGTCAAAACTATTTTAAACACATTAGAATAATGTGAATGGAAAGGACGAACTCCAATAATGAGAATTGTGCTGACGACATTTAACACTCTCATCGTAAACATATATTGCGCGCTTGAAAGCGAACAAAATGATAAACCAGTTTTTGTTTTACTCATTTTTCTTCAATTTTCATTTAGATTCAAAAGTTTTTGGGATAATACTATCCTTGTAACTTCCACAAGTTATTTATTCAAAGTATTAGATTCATTATTATGTGTATCGAATGAATAGAAAGTATGTTTTCATATTAAATTAATCACGTTAAATTTGTTATTCGAAACGGTAAGGTGGCATTGCACTAATTGCTGGTGAGTATGCAACAATGTTTAATGTCTTAAAACGTAGACACTTGATGAGTTTGAGAATTGCAATCAAGAATTCCTTTTAAATTACCATGAAAAGAATGGAATAAAACCACGTCAAAAAGACACAATCATTTCATTGGTAGCTTGACAACAGCTAAACTTTGAAACTTTCCATACATGTACCACTAGGAACAGTTTTCATATAACAGCAACGTAGGCAATCAGAAACTGAAATTTTAGTATTCTTTTCTCCAGGTATCTATTACTCGAATTGTTAATGTCAAAACAAT